TTTGCTGAGGACAATTTAACACCGCCTTTGAATAACTCAAGAGTGGAGGGAAAATGTCAGGTGTCAGGGAGTGGTGTTATTCTTGAGTGTTCTCTACGGGTCATCAGTGCTGTTCATGGCCGCTTTGGTTGGGGCACGGGTGATGTACTGTTTCATGGAATGTCGGCTCTGAGGGTTTATTAGAGCAGATAATGATAACATCTACTTGAGGCGTTGCCTCTGAGGCTTTTTTTTCCACTCCATCTGGCGAAGATGGAAAAGATGAGGACACCCCCACGTACTCTGGGCATACATCACCGTCAACTTATTTCTGAGCTGCCGGGAGACTGAGACGTACTCCGGATAAAAGCGCGCGCGCCACATCTCTTGATTCATGGACGTAATTGGTTAGGCGTTGTGCGATGTCTTCTCTCTCGCTGATTCTTCTTCTTTCCTTACTGGCTGAACTTTGAGCATAGGAGTATGTGCCATATTCTAATTCAATTTGTTATCAAATCAAACCACAGATGTACGGCCGCAAGACTAAAATGTCAGAGCCATAAAAATCGAAGAAGAAGAAGAAGAAGAAACCACAGATGTCGCTAATCGTTGGCGCACTATTTAAACAAGTCCTCCAAAACAAAAACACTCGCCAAACTGGGAGACTTTTGTGCCATATTTTGGAAATTTTCCGCAACCAGCAACTCAAACTTTTCACGGGGATCTCGCATACAATCAAATTTACGAAGAAATACACAGCAAAGGTGTTGTTTTGCTAAGATTCGCTGTTCACTTGGACAACGCCAAAAGGATCATTGAGGTTATATCCACTTCGCCATCTGCTTCAGTGTGCAGCGCCAGGAAACCACAGCCCGTCTACGTCCGGGGACTTTTGTGGGATTGGCGCTTATATGCACTGAGAGGCATCGTAACTCATACACGCCTCGAGAGTCATGGATGGATTTATAACGCTCTAGATGTAATGAGGTCCGCTCATGTTTGAGATTAACAATGATTGCGCTAGGGGGAATGGAGAGGTTAGATAAGGTGGAGAATATGGCGGGGGAATAATCTCTGGGTGGTGGGGGATCGGGAGTTTGGTGTAGGATTTTTTGGGGTTGAGTTGATGACATTTTTTACTTTGATTTTATTAATTCAATCTGCCAGTAGTGGAATGGATGTCGGGTGAATGAGGAAATTCACTCGAGATTCTCTGCTGAATCTCTCGGGAACTTCGAGATTTAGAAGAAAATATATGAGAACATTTTTGGTAGGAAATTTTCTCAGCTACAAAAAAGCTTTTCTAACATTTCCCCCTAAACCCATTGGTTCATGGGATATCGTAAAAATAGTGAAGGTAAAATTTTCTAAACCATTTTCTTTTGTTACTATACTCCTCCTACAATTAACCCTAGTCTGGTCACCTGACGGGAAAATGCGACTTAAGTCACCTTCGCGGGAGAGTGCCGCCGTGTTATTTCGGCTCCAGCGTTGCCGAATCCACTCTACACTTCCCGGGCGCGTTTAGCGAGTTTCCAGCAACGTCGCGCAACAGGCAATTTCATTTAACACGGGAAAAAATTGTTCACCTGTTGGAAATAATTTTTTTTCTCCCAGAATTAAGGATACAATATTGAAAAAAAATATTAGAATTTTCCAGATACTTCAATTGCCGAATTCAATTTTTCTCAACTTTTTCAGGTCAACCAGTCGATGGCAAGGTGAATAAAACGACATGTTGCGGCAATTCCCTCGCATGGTGACCAGTCTAGGGTTAATGAACATTGATCAAAATCACCTATGTACCAATCAAAATGTCACTCTCCCCAATACCAACCACGCAGTCGACAAAATAGAGTCATCTTGACCGCGTAGTTTGGCATTCAGCGGTGCGTCCCATCCTCGTAATACTCGCAACCCACCTTTCGACACCCAGTCGCGCGTTTCAAATGACTCTCCCCTATTGGCCATCAGCGATATCGTACCCCAACGGTGTTTGATCCAATTGACAAAATGCACCCCAAAATAAAAAACACGCCGAGAACAAATAAGAATGGGGAAAAAATGGCGGGGAATGTCGTGACCCACGGTGGCATTTGCATCGTTGGGATCTAATGAATAGCAAGCATTACGTACTATTTGGTCTCGTTGCGACCGGCCATGACGAGGATAAGCGGATGGCCGAAAGAGAGGGGAGGGAGTGGATGGGTATGAGGTGGGACGCCGCATAGTCCGAGTGCTATTTGCAGCTTCCCGTTTCACCCTCCCGTTTCTCGTTGTATTGAAGGCACAATGGACGCCAACGCTTGGCGTCGCTATGCGCCTCAATGGAACTCACTAGCTAGCCCCTTCCATCCCCCGATGCTGTTGGCTACTTCCTTTCACGTAGCTGGAATCATCGTTTCGGGGTTTGGATGGATGATATGTACATATGGAAAAATATATCGATTCGGCAGGATCGTTCAGAGCTTGTCCGGCATGTTTATGATATTACCCATGCTGGCACATCAGTTTAACGATTTATGCAGAAAATAGCGGATAGTACCCAGGGAAGAATTTTTCTAAAAGTCCCCAGCAAGACCGGTAAATATCTGGAAATTTACTGGTAAATTGTTAGCTGGATACCCCAGTGAGAATCGAACCCACAACCTTCAGATTACCAAATTGCTCTTTTGACCGTTTGAGCTACTGGAGTTACCACATTTACCAGTGATTTTATCACCCATATATTCTGAATGTTGATCATTCTTTCACATGTCCAAAATGATCATTTCGGGGTTTGGATGGATCACATGCACATATGGAAAAATATATCATTTGTTGCACGAAACACCATACGGATAATATTAAGATCATTTTTAGCATTATTATGATATTATCCAAGCTGGCAGTTTTATGATTCATCCAGAAAATAGCGGGAAGTACCCGACTGGGAATCGAACCCGTAACCTTCGGATTACCAAATTGCTCCTTTGACCATTTGAGCTACTGGAGTTACCACATTTACCAGTGATTTTATCATCCATATATTCTGAATGTTGATCATTCTTTCATATGTCCGAAATCATCATTTCGGAGATTGGATGGATCACATGTGTTGGAGTTCACATTCCATGATTACAAAAATTAATTTTATATTTCACAGTATGTTTATATTATTATAAGAGAACATTTTTCTGATCTGAAATTCTGAGAAGAGCGTGGACGAATGTTTGGGCATTTGGTTTTTCAGTCTAAACATCTGTAAATGAAGAGACCTTTGTGGGTCTATGTCGCCAGGGTTTCAGACCTCTAGGACNTGTCCAAAATGATCATTTCGGGGTTTGGATGGATCACATGCACATATGGAAAAATATATCATTTGTTGCACGAAACACCATACGGATAATATTAAGATCATTTTTAGCATTATTATGATATTATCCAAGCTGGCAGTTTTATGATTCATCCAGAAAATAGCGGGAAGTACCCGACTGGGAATCGAACCCGTAACCTTCGGATTACCAAATTGCTCCTTTGACCATTTGAGCTACTGGAGTTACCACATTTACCAGTGATTTTATCATCCATATATTCTGAATGTTGATCATTCTTTCATATGTCCGAAATCATCATTTCGGAGATTGGATGGATCACATGTGTTGGAGTTCACATTCCATGATTACAAAAATTAATTTTATATTTCACAGTATGTTTATATTATTATAAGAGAACATTTTTCTGATCTGAAATTCTGAGAAGAGCGTGGACGAATGTTTGGGCATTTGGTTTTTCAGTCTAAACATCTGTAAATGAAGAGACCTTTGTGGGTCTATGTCGCCAGGGTTTCAGACCTCTGGGACCTTTGTTTCTTTAGTTAGTCCATCTGAGCAGCTCAAAGCGTGTGGATGTGTCTTCCTCGTATATAATTTTAAATAAAGAAAAGTTTCAACTCAACCGGATTGATTTTTATTCAAAATCACCCATTTCCAATAACATGCACATATGGAAAAATATATCATTTGTTGTACAAGACATTAGAACTGAACGGTTAAGATCATTTTCAGCATTATTATGATGTTATCCAAGTTGGCATTTTTATAATTCATCCAGAAAACAGCGGGAAGTACCCGAGTGGGACTCGAACCCGCAACCTTAGGATTACCAAATTGCTCCTTTGACCATTTGAGCTACTGGAGTTCCCACATTTACCATTAATTCTAGCACCAAAATATCTCATTTACGAAAGAATGTATCAATTTTCATAAACTCCACTTCGACCAATCACGATAAAGAATAACTTGATCACTCTCCCCTGTCTTATCGAGTTTATTAATGCACTGAGAAGTTCATCTTGGATGCAACAGCGTCGCCGTCGCATCATAATTCACTCCTGTTGAAAGTCCTCTTCAACTAATCAAGAATAGAACCATCTTAAATCTTGCGATGTCACAATAACACCCGTCATTGATCCCTTCCCAATTATCCCCCAACTGCATTTGAATAAAGGTCACCCATCAACCGACGTCTCCAAAACATCTTAAAATTCCCAAAATCCTGGGTCTTGGCAGAACGCCCCTCATCTTGTCGACGTGTGAGCACTTTAAATCGTTTCGAGAATTTCGTCAAAGGCGAAAGTGCGAGTAGAAGCGGTAGGTGTTGACGAATCCACGGAGACATTGCTCACACACCAACATCACGATTCAATGTTTTGGATTATTTGTCTCATTTCTGGAATAACTTGACGGTATATCACGCTATTCGTGTTATTCCAGCAATGGTTCGACAAAGAATTTAATTATGACGATTTAATCCGGATGTTTTCCAATGGCAAGTGAAGTTCCAGTGAAAAATCATACCGATAAATTCCATTGTTCCAAAAATCGTGAGCATTCATTTCCCCGACAATGGGGGAATAAACTGTGCGGCCGATTTAAACGCATTTCAGGGAAAATTCCGATCTCTCTGGCAACTCAATTTCAATCATTCCCCTCGGTTTATCATTTTTCCTCAATTTTTGCTTCTGGTTTTTTGATGTTCAGTTGAATGTACACCAGAGATCGTTGGAGGCAGCGGGTTTGGAGTTGTGTGCAACCAGCGGAAGTGTACCACAGGGACAACCTAGCAGTGCGGGATCAGTTGGTTCAGCGCCAAGTCCTGCATCGCCACGACCTACACCCCAACCTAGAGTACCTTTAACAAGTACTACGCAACCATCGAGAACTCTTGATGACGATAGATCGACTGATGGTGAGTTGAGGTTATTTATACACTCGTTGATATTTATTCGACATGCACGAAAAAATTTTATTGAAAAGCTGAGCGAAGTTGAGAGGAATTCTATTCCATTTCTGTTGAAAATGTTTTCAGTTTTTGGACTGTTGTGTTCTCGTGAGACCAGTTACTACTGAGTAATTGGTCGATTCGTGAGTGAATTAAAAAAATCTAATTAAGATGTTTGAAAATCTCTGTTTAAGATCATAAGTTTAGAACAAATCTTCTTTCCTTAGCCCGTAACGAATTTTTCCGTGCATGGACTGATGGGAAAAATCGGGATATTCACATTCGTCATTACGACAAAATCCTCAATGTTCTTATTTCCCTCATGGCCCTCAGCTGATTCGAATGTGAATAGCCCGTCATCCCAACAAACTGATAGAACCCATCAAGCACAACTGAACTAAAGAAAAATGAATTTTTCAAATTGTTTTAGTAATAAAAATAACGACAAAATTTCGTAACGAAATATGTCAATCAGCTGTAGGTGCAGTAACGACAGCCGAGGATTCGGACGATGGTGAGAGTAGAGCCCAATACGTTAGTGCCAATTGCGTTGTCTTCACTCATTACCGAGGTGATGCAGCGTCCGAGGTCGAGGAACACTTCCAACGTGCCTTGGCACACGATAAAGTCAAAGGTAACATTTTAATTATAATGCCAGCCAAATCAAGATCAATCTCTCCGAGTCATGGCTTCTGAAACAACCCGAGTCGAATAATTGGTCCTGACAAATTCTACTTAGGTCTCTCCGTTCAGAACTGGATAGGTCTTGGGAAGCCTCTTTCCAAGTGCTTCCGAGACCTTTCTACCTCTGGTTATGTCCCACTTCAGCACTTGTTAGGTGTAAGCAGGACTTGCATTCAGACTTTCCAAATCCTTGCCGGTCCCCGTAATTCTATGGGCCTATATTAAATCTGCGTTCATATCCCTATTTACTCATGCGTTATTGAAATAAAAAATGCAATTATTGTTTTTTTTTTAATCTCGAAAATCGACATTTCACGGGAGGGTGGAGGGGAGATGCATGTATGCGGAGGCTTGACATTTTTATCCAACAAGCGGAGAAGGTTGCAGAATCTATTCTAGCCACTCTTGCCCCTCCGCTTGCATGCATTGTCCAAATAAAAA